AATATAATATTTATATACATATATAATTATCAAAAGCATGTAATGCTCACAAATTAATCAGAAGTATTTTTAATATTTCGTTCCAAATTATAAAGTATTTTGAGAAGAGGAAAGGCTTTCGGTCGGCGAACCTTCAAACTCGCATTTTCCATAATTTACCAGACGGGAGGTGTTTCTATTGTCAAAGATGATGATGGACTCCACCTTCTTTATCAAAATAACTAGGTTGGGAAAGTGCAAGAACCCTTTATTTATTGAAAATTGTTTTATAGAATGTAAAATACTTTTAACATCGGATAAATTGAATATTTAATTGATGCTTACGATAAAATTGCAATCAATCAGTCTTACTTGACAGCAAAAATTTCTTTAATTGAAAATATAACAGCTTATGTATTTAAAGAAAACAAAGAGGAAGGTTTTTCCGAGTGGTATATTTTGTGAAATGGAAAAATATTACAAGGTTTGCAAGATTTTTCTCAAAATATATTTTTCTATCTGGTTTATTGTGATAATTGTTTTAATGTATGTGGCATGCTTCAGCAATCTTTATCCCAGATTTAGAAAGTCAATTTCTTGCAAAATCATGTTCTTGCATCTTAGTTTTTCGCGTAACAAAACGTGAATTTATTACCAAAGATTTAAGCATTTTATAATATTTTTACTCTCATTTATTGCTATTAATTTCTGCGATGATTTTTTAATAGGAAAAGTTTAAATTTTTCTATTGCTACATAAAATAATGCACTAAATTTTTTATTATCCTTTGCAATATTAATTTCTCCTAAAGAAAAAATAAGGAAAAAGACATTGAGTATCAGGAAGTTTAACTTTCAAGGTATTTACCATCAATTTTTTTTCTCAAAATTTGATGATTTCCTCCATTTAATGACTGTCTCAGTAACAAAATGACAAAAAAAAAAGTCATTAAGATCAAAACTCTCAACACTAAGAATGATTATAGACTTTCTCACTTAAAAAAAGAGGACACTCTATGGACATTCACCCTGACGACCCTCTATTACTTTGCAGCGTGATCCAAATAGGCGTGTCCGTTTGACCCTCTTCGACCTTTCTTCATCGAGAGGTGTCAAAAGCGCGTTTTGTGCTATAACCAGATGAGTTGTAAGCCAATTAATATGAATGAGGTTTGTCTCTATGGGAAATATGTCACTGCTCTTCACTTTCCCTTCCAATGCGTTGCAAACTGGAGATAATTGCTGGCCACATAATTAAATTTAGAAAGCAAACACCCACCTCTTGTGAATATTATATTTTTCTCTAAATAATTCAATAAATTAACAGCTTTTATATTTTTCTTTTGATAGAGTAAGGTTAAGAAAAGGCTGCTTATAGAATAAATAAATCATTTTCTTATTGTAAAATTGAATATATTATAAATAGAAGTATTTTTAATACACTTAAAGTTGAATTGTTAAACCAGTTTCATATCTAGTTAATTTACTTTTCCGTTTTTTAAAGACACCAAACTGACTTCTTGCAAAACTTCAATTTTTCAGAAAATTATCACATGGAATTCTTTGTTTCAAAACACTTGACCACTGTTCCAATTCGTTGCATTCACGCAAATCCTAGTTTTGAACATTTTAAATGCAGTTTTGATTATTTATATTACATGTAATGAAGTAACTTATCGTTGAAGTCATGCCACATAACACAAAATAGATGCTGGTTTATGGAAAATTGTGTGGTTTCAACATTCAATTAAACAATAAAACGGGTGGTGTTTTGTGCCATTAAAAAAATCGAAGGGTTGATTAATCTGAACAAATACACACTTGATTGCATTATTTTTCTTAATAATAGAGTCAACTAATATATCGAACACCCCTCTAAATAGAATGAATTCATCCGTTACCGTAACAACGTTAATTACTTTACTATTTTCTTAACGAGAACGGACTATGGTAGGTTCTAAACAATGGATTTTATGCCATATTCTTAAATATTATATATTTCCTTGTAAGAAGTTAACATTACCAAATAGAGTTTAAAATGCCTTTTCAAATCACTGACATAACTCGAATTTACAGTTTGCAAGACACAAAACAATAGTGTGACGTAAGATATATATTAAAACTATGTCCCAAACAAGGCGAGTTACTTAGTTGTTTGTATTGACTGAACGATTTATGAATAGGTATTTGAAGAAAATTTACATTCACGTTTCTACTGTGCTGATATTTTTCTCCAGTGACAGCTTTCGAAGTAATACCTATAATTTATCTACCTTAAATTCTTTTATAACACTTATTATGGCAGCTCTGGGATATTTCTAAGTTGACAAATGCGTATAAGATGACAGTTTGAATCCTCATCAGAGCATTGCAGACGTGTCGAGGGGCCATAAAATATCCGTAAGATAGCTTCTGTTGGAAGAATTATCGCGACGACCTTGACCGAAATCTCTGTAAAATTATTAAATATTTGACATTTACCATTTCTGAAAGATATCAATTTTTTTACGTCCCACTTTGGCCGAGTTAACTAGTTGTTTTTGGAAAGTTTCATGCCATAAATTAGATAATATTCGGCAATTAAAAATGGAGAAAGAAACTAGAGTTTGTCACTTTCTTGCAGGAAAGTAACAGTTGTGAAACTATTACAGTAACATATGTGATATCCAAAGAAACCCTGGTCACGTTTTTCAGAAAATTACTCGGATGGGTTGCGCTATAATTTTCTGATACAAGATCTTTCCTTATTTTCTTCCTTTCTTATATATATATATATTTCTTGTAGACCCTCCCTTACAATGGATTAGTTCTTGAATAATGCATTGAAAAATTATGATAATTATCTTCATCCGATTATAATGCGATCAGGGCCAGGGTCGAATTAGTGTAAAAGTAAACAATAGTGCCATACTTTTGTCTCTCTTACCTTCCTATCAAGAAAATACCCTTGCAGTAATTAATAATAATATAGAAAAATGTTCCTCGAGGCTTAAAATAGTAAAAAAAATTTGCGTTTTATAATTAAAACTATTTATTTTTATATTAATTAATTAATGCGCTATGATAATTTTAAAAAAAACCAATAATAATTAGCTTAATTACGTATTTATAATGTAGATTTAAATGCAGACACTCCCTTTTAAATAGAATGAACTTGTCTGTTTCTATGACGACAATAATTACTCTACTATATTCTTAGGGAGAACGGACAATTAATTTTTCTCGATAGTTTCGGGCGGTTTAAATGTTAATTAATTTAAGTTTCTTGATAAAAATTGAACATTTCGAGATTATTTTAAACAAATTTAATATATTTTTCTTATATAATAGCGCAGAAAATTCATCTGCATATAAATGAAATAGATAAAGTTACACGTTTATATATTTATTATTTCCCTTAGCAACAATTGACCTTTAAGGAACCTGAATTAAGTGCACATGTTCCTCAACCACGTGTGACTGTTTTTTGTTCCCGTTTCTATTATTAGAAATATAATAATTCTTATGATCTCTATCGAAATATCCAAGTCATGAATCTGTCTGGATGTCTGTTTTCTTAATTACGAGGTGTTGGGAACGATTTTTATCACTAAGAAGAGAACAAAATTACATAAAGATTTATTTCCGTTACAGTTCATTCGTAACAGAATGGAGGTTACGCCAACTTAGTTTTGAAATTAGTCGGCGCGACCGCATCCAATATGGCGACGTGACTTAAACTTCGACATTCTCCTATTGAGAATGAAAAGACACGTGATCCCGAGGTCACGCTACGATAATTTTCTGTACACAAAACTATTAAATTCTAAACATAAGGAGCAGTTTGATTCCTTAATTACATATAAAAACGACATTTATAGAATCTGCAAAACATCAAACCTGACGAGTTTTTATGTTTTTTAAACTATATAAAAGCTTCCTAGCTTAGTTTAATCTGGAGAACAAATACTCATTGATGTGATCCGGGGTCCCTGACATGACCTTTTTCTACATTGTCTGCATTCTCTCCTCTTTAAAACACTGATTAAACATCTTAATCCGGTTTTTGTAAATGCAGGAAACTTCAAACAGTTATTTATAGATGGAAAATTTTTGTGTTTTTTGGGGTCATAACTTTGTTTTAATCTCTTAGATATATAATTTAACAATTTCACTCTAGCAATATCACAATTGCCAATCGTTTCCCCCCACTCTTAAGCTCCTTAAGATCCTTTGTAAATCTTCCTATTTTCAGTTGCTGGATCATTAAGAATTTCACACGGATTTCACTAGAAATATTTGTCATCTCGCAAGAGTCACAGTTATTTAGAGAAGAGTGAAGTGGATTCGGTACGAAATCTATTATATTATCATCTAGAAATGCGGCTGACACAGTTAGATGGATGACATCAGATCAGAGGTTGTTGCAGTCATCTTTTCCACCCACTCTTGCACGAAAGAGCATTGTTTCAAACTACACACAAAGACTTCCTGGCATGATAATAAATATGACACTTTTCCTTTTGATTTCGACTGGAAATTTATGCTTCTGTTTTGCTTTTGTTTTCTATTTTTAACACCATTTTTCGCTCCAGCT